GGTAGAAGGTGGTGAGAGGAGAAGGATCGCCAGCCTTCTTGTGAGCACTCCAAGGCTGTCGGCCAGATTCCCGGGCGACATCTTTTTGCAGATGGAGCAGGCGACGGGCTTCTGGGTTGGCAGCGAGGTGTCGTTCTCGATCACGAGGACTGCCATCAATGAAAAATACTCGGAGGGGTATGGGCGAAATGGGAGAGGGGATTGATGCACTGATCCCGCCAGTGGAGCAGGACATATATATATATATAATTGTTAATGTCGCACCAGATGGTTGATCATGCTGATCAGAAGTATTGTGCTCTCTCAGCATTTGTGGCTCCCGCGTGGGGCCCCTGGCGGCTCTGTGGTTCCAGACGGGCCCGCCAGCCGAGCCGATCCAGTCCCAGCCTTCGCTTCCTCGGCCCTTCCCCCCCTCTTCTCTCTGTCCTCCTTCCTTCTCTCTTCCGCGGCGTCGAAGACGCGCAGTGCCCGCCGATCGCGCTCGAGTCCTGGGGCGTGCGGCGGGAGCCAGTCCTGGCGCGACTCAAACTGGAGCGTCGCACCGTGGAGAGGGCGAGCGGCAAGCGAGGGCGAGAACGAGTAGGGATCGGGGGGGGGTGCGCAAAGGACGAGGACGCCGGGGAGGGAGCCAGCAGGACTGGGAAGCGGGGGCGAGGAAGAACGTGGGAGGGGGCCCCCTCGATCCCCTCGATCCCCTCCTGGATCCTCGACCTCCTCGATCCCCTCCTCGATCCTCGATCCACTCTTGGATCCTGATCCCCTCGATCCCCTCCTTGATCCTCGAAGAGGGCAGTGCGCGTGGGACAGAAGAAGGGAGGACCTCCTCCCTGCTTCCCCCTGCCCTCACCGCGGTCGATCCCCTCCTGGATCCTCGATCCGATCCTCGATTCCCTGCTCGATCCTCGACCACCTCCTCAATCTTCGATCCCCTCGATCCCCTCGATCCCCTCCCCGATCCTCGACTCCCCTAGATCCCCTCGATCCCCTCCTCGATCCTCGACCCCCTCGACCCCCTCCTCGATCCTCGACCCCCCACCCTCACCGCGGCCACCCCGCAGGGGGCCTCGTCGGCCCCCTGCGCAGACGAGGCAGACGCCCCTGGAGGTCCAGGGCTCCAGGCCCTTGCCCCTGGAGGCGGGGCGAGGCTGGCGGGTTGCGCGCGGGGGGAGCGCGGGCGCGAGAGTCCGGAAGGAGCCCCGCCTCCTCCTCGCGAGGGCCTGGAAGGAAGCACCCAGCAGCCTTCTTGATCCCCTTCTCCTCCTCGATCCCCTCCTCGATCCTCGACCTCCTCGATCTCCTCGCTCTCCTCTTTGATCCTCGATCCTCGATCCTCGACCCCCTCGATCCCCTCCCCGATTCTCGATCCCCTCTTCGAAGGACCCCCCCCCCGGGGGACCGTTCTCTTTCATCCCAGGTGGCTCTTCGACGGCCCCCCGGGGCCTGCCGAGGGCCCCACGCAGGCCGAAACTGAGGGGCCAGCGCCGTCCGTCGTGGCGTTTTCGTAGCGCGAGGCGGTCTCGATCCTGGTCCTCCTCCTCCTCCTCCCCCCTCCTCCTCCTCCTCCTCCTCCTCCTCCTCCTCCTGCTTCTCCTGCTTCTTCTCATCCTCCTTACTTCTCCTCCTCCTCCTCCTCCTGCTCCTCCTCCTCCTGCTCCTTCTCCTCCTTCTCCTCCTCCTCCTCCTCTTCTTCCTACTCCTCCTCCTCCTTCTCCCCCCTCCTCCTCCCCCCTCCTCCTGAAGCAATCCCAAACGGTGGCTAGCGGGGCGGGGGTCCTTGGTGGGCCGTCTGCAAGACCGGCCAACCACCAGGTGGACTATACGGAATGCTGGTTAGGCCTGTCTGGATAGCTTGTAACGCAAGCAGACAGCATTAACCACCATTGCTGCATGCCTCTCAGGTTGGGCCCGAGCAGATGGGGTCGGAGGATCGCGCCGCATTACCGACCGGGCGCGATGGAAGGCTCGATTTCTCCACCCTGGCGTCGCCGATGCATCGCTGACGTCATCCATGCATTGCCAATACAGCGGCAATGCATCGGGAAGGCGGCGCGATCATCCGAACCAATTTACTCGGACACTATTCCCAGACATGCGACGTCCTGATGTTCTTCGGTACGGGATCCCGGAAGTCCCGACCCTATCCCCAGGGCCGGATTTTCACCCCGAGTCGTTTTCGACGGCTTCGGGGCCCGGCGAGGGGTCCACGGCCGAAAACGATCAAGAACCTCCAGTCGCGAATGTGTCACGACGCGAGTCTGTCTGGGTTAAGGACGTCTCTAATCGCACCAACTACCTGGCCGTTCCTTGAGAGCCCCCGAGTCTGGCGGAGGCCTTCAGAAGCCCGACAGGGACCACAAGCATCCAACAACTTTCTTGATCCCCTTCTCCTCCTCGATCCTCGATACCCTCGATCCTCGACCCCCTCGACCTCCTCGATCCTCGATCCTTGATCCTCGATCCTTGATCCCCTCCTCGATCATCGACCCCCTCGATCCCCTGGATCCCCTCTTTGATCCTCGATCCTCGATCCTCGACCCCCTCGATCCCCTCCCCGATCCTCGACCCCCCTCCTCGATCCTTCGATCCCCTCGATCCTTCGATCCCGTCCTCGATCCTCGACCCCCTCGATCCCTTCATCGATCCTCGATGCACTGGATCCCCTTCATCCCCTCCCCGATCTTCGATCCTCGATCCCTCTTCGATCCCCTCGATCCCCTCCCTGATCCTCGACCTCCTCGATCCCCTCCTCGATCCTCGACCTCCTCCTCGATCCTTGCTCCCCTCGATCCCCTCGATTCCCTTCTCGCTTCTCGACCCCCTCGATCCCCTCCTTGATCCTCGATCCCCGCCCCGATCCTCGATCTTCGATCCTCTCTTCGATCCCCTCGATCCCGTCCTGGATCCTCGCCCCCCTCGATCCCCTCCTTTATCCTCGACCCCCTCCTCGATCCTCGATCCCCTCGACCCCCCTCGATTCCCTTCTCGCTTCTCGACCCCCTCGACCCCCTCCTCAATCCTCGATCCCCTCGATCACTTTCTCGATTGGATCCCCTCCCCGATCCTCGATCCTCGATCCCCTCTTCGATCCCCTCGATCCCCTCCTGGATCCTGGATCCCCTCGATCCCCTTGATCCCCTCGATCCCTTCGATCCCCTCGCGACCCCCTCGATCCCCTCCTCGATCCTCGATCCCCTCGATCCCCTCCTCGACCCACTCGATCCCCTCCTCGATCCTGTCAATCCCCGCGATCCCTTCCTCGATCCCCTGTATCCCCTCGATCCCCTCGATCCTCGACCCCCTCGATCCTCTCCCCGATCCTGGATCACCTTTTTTGACCCCTCTTGGATCCTCGATCTCCTCGGTCCCACTCCTCGATCCTCGACCCCCTCGACCCCCTCGATCCCTCGATCCCCTCGTTTCCCTCCTCGATCCCCTCTCCGATCCTCGATCCCCTCCTCGATTCCCTCCGATCCTCGATCCCCTCGATCCCCTCCTCGATCCTCGATCATCGACTCCCTCGATCCCCTCCTCGATCCTCGGTCCTCGATCCCCTCGTCGACCCCTCGATCCCCTGGATCCCCTCCTGGAACCCCGCCCCCCTCGATTCCCTCCTCGATCCCCGATCCCCTCGATCCCCTCGATCCTCGATCCTCGATCCCCTCGGTCCCCTCGGCCCCCTCGATCCCCTCGGTCCCCTCGGTCCCCTCGGTCCCCTCCTCGATCCCCTCGATCCCCTCCTAGATCCTCGACCCCACTCGATCCCCTCGACCCCTTCTTCGATCCTTCGAACCCCTCGATCCCCCCCTCGATCCCCTCTTCGATCCACTCCAGGATCCTCTCCTGGATCCTCGATCCCCTCCCCTCCTCGGTCCACTCCTCGATCCCCTCCTCTCTTCGAACCCCTCGATCCCCTCCTCGATCCCCTCCTCGATCCCCTCTTCGATCCACTCCAGGATCCTCGATCCCCTCCCCGATCCTCGACCGCCTCCCCGATCCTCACTCCCCTCGATCCCCTTTTCGATCCTGGATCCTCGACCCCCTCTTCGATCCCCGATCCTCGATCCTCTGTCCCCTTCCTGATCCTCGATCGCCTCCTCGATCCTCGATCCCGGCGATCCCCTCCTCGATCCTCGATCTCCTCTCGATCCTCGACCCCCTTGATTCCCTCCTCGATCCTCGACCCCTCCTCGATCCCCGCGATCCCCTCCTGGATCCTCGACCCCCTCGATCCCCTCGATCCCCTCCTTGATCTCCTCGATTCCCGCGACCCCCTCCTCGATCCTCGATCCCCTCTTAGATCCTCGATCCCCGCCTCGATCCCCTCCTCGATCCTCGATCCCCTAGGGGTTTCGCGCATAGAGGATCGGGGAGGGGATCGAGGGGATCGACCCTCTCTCGATCCCCTCGACCTCCTCCTGGATCCTCAACCCCCTCGATCCCCTCCTCGATCCTCGACCCTCTCGATCCTCTTGGATTTTCGACCCCCTCGATTCCCCCGTCCGATCCTCGATCCTTGATCCCATCTTCGATCGCCTCGGCCTCCGCCTGGATCCTCGACCCCCGATCCCTCGATCCCCTCGATCCCTTCGATCCCCTCCTGGATCCTCGACCCCCTCGACCCCCTCGGCCCCCTCCTCGATCCCCCTCGACCCCCTCACCGACCTTCGATCCCCCTCGATCCCCCTCTTCTGATTCCCTCGATCCCAGCGCCTGTCGTCGCCGTCGTCGCTCGGAGGCCCTCGGAGGCTCTCGGCTTCGGTCGGAGGCGCTCGTCGTCGTCGTCGTCGTCGTCGTCGTCGTCGTCGTCGTCGTCGTCGACGTCGACGTCGTCGTCCTCGTCGTCGTCGTCCTCGTCGTCGTCGTCGTCGTCGTCGTCGTCGTCGTCGTCGTCGTCGTCGTCGTCGTCGTCGTCCTCGTCGTCGTCGACGTCGTCGTCGTCGTCGTCGTCGTCGTCGTCGTCGTCGTCGTCGTCGTCCTCGTCGTCGTCCTCGTCGTCGTCGTCGTCGTCCTCGTCGTCGTCGTCGTCGTCGTCGTCGTCGTCGTCGTCGCCCGAGGCCGTCGCCATCCCCTCGGACCCCCCGCCGGCCCCCGCGCCCCCCTCACGCAGGAGCTCCAGGGGCCTGCCGCAGGCCGTCGGCCTCGCCCCCGCCGCCCGGCGCCCCCTCGACGCCCCCGGCGGCGAGCCGCCGCAGGCCCCCCCGCGGCCCCCTTGGGGGCGGGCGTGCGGAGGGCCCCTCGAGACGCGCAGGTCGAGGGACGAAAAACCGGCATGACCATTCCAGGGGCCCTCCTCCTCCTCCTCCTCCTCCTCCTCCTCCTTCTCCTCCTCCTCCTCCTTCTCCTCCTCCTCCTCTTTTGACGTTGCTCGGACTCGGTATGCTAGTACGAAGCGTCCAGGGGTGGAAAAATCCTCCTCCTCCTCCTCCTCCTCCTCCTCCTCCTCCTCCTCCTCCTCCTCCTACTCCTGGGTGGGTGGGCGGGCGTTCGGGTGCCCAGAGCTCCGGCGATGCGATTCCCCAAACGGGATCGAGGATCCAGGAGGGGATCGAGGGGATCCAGGGGATCCAGGAGGAGATCGAGGGTCGAAGAGGGGGTCGAGGAGGTCGAGGATCCAGGAGGGGATCGAGGGGATCCAGGGGATCGAGGGGTCGAGGATCCAGGAGGGGATCGATGGGATCGAGGATCCACGAGGGGATCGAGGTGATCGAGGGGTCGAGGATCCAGGAGGGGATCTGGCGATGCGACTCCCCAAATAGGGGCTGGAGCCGGCTGGGGGTCTGATGTGGCCCATCATTGGTTGCTAGAAGTGTCCCTGGCCCAAGGTGCCCCCAGGATCTCCAAGGAGATCCCCACGGCCTCCAAAGTACCCCGCGCAAGGCCCCGAGGGCCCCAGGGGCTTCAAACAATGGAGCGAAAAGCAGGGGGCAATTTGAGCCAGGGGCACCTTTAGCAACCCCCGAAACAGGGGTTGGAACCAGCTGGGGGTCTGAGGTTGCCCAGCCCTGGTTCCGGCCAGCAGGAAGGGGAGCGTGGTTCGAGGTGCTGAGTTCGTGGAGGAGGGGTTTCGCCGTTTGTCTGTACCCAGGACTGTCAAACATGGATTCGTGGTGAAAAGTTGCACCAGATGGACCCCTGGAGGGGTTCAGGGACCGATTTTGAGCGTATTTGGCTTCATCCCCCCTTCTGACCGATTTTCTGGGGTCCCAACCAGTTCGGATCCCCCAGCGGCCTCCAAAACAAGGGTTCTGATTCGCGGTCCTCGGAAATTGCATGGGCTGTCTAGATTTCGCCGCGTCGCCGCCCATTGCCGCCCGTGTCTACTCCGGTGCCGCCCACTTGGACGCGTCCGTCGAGGATTCGCCACATAGCTTGCACCACATAGCTTGCACCGCATAGCTTGCACCACATGGCTTGCACCACGTAGATTGCATCACACCGCTTACACATCCACAGTGCAATACGTTACTGTTTGAGGTCCACCCTGGCTAACATTTTTTCTATCGGGGCGTTTCTCATCGACATTGGTCTCTGCCCAGAGAGCCGAGGCTCCAAGCCAGATCGGAGCGGCCAGTTTTTTGGGCCATCTTCGACTTTCAGAGGCCTTCGGCTGGCCCCGGGACTGCCCAAAAACTGCTCGGGACGAGAAACCAGTCCCGAGGAAGTCGTCAAAACCTCCGGGGTCCCATTCATCGAAAAAGTTGGAGCGCCCGATGTCTGGGTGGCGTCCGATGTCGTGCCCCGGGACTACGAATGACGGATCCGCGACGAAAAACTACCCAAACAGGCCTTATCGCAATTTCGTAATGTACATGGTGGTTGGCGGGTTATTCCAGCAGTCCACGCAGGACCCCCGCCCCGCTGACTACCGTTTCGGTTTGCAACATTTTGGTCAGCAACCTTGTGCTCATCCCTTTATGTATGGTTCCGGATGCTTCTGCACACTGGCGCGACCACCAACGCCCCAGCCAACACCTTGAAGTTCGCAAGGCGTCGGGGACTCGGATCTCCCACGATACGAGTCCTCCAAGCCGGGTGCTTTTCCTCGATGTCGGCCTCTGGGGCCTGCTGTCGTGCACCAGGATCATCCCACATGGATCTGGGGGACGAAACACTGCTTCCAGGGAAGGTCGGCTCTACGCAAGAGTGGCCCTGGGTAGGAGGGACCTCTGGTGCGCGGCACTAAGGGGGGCGCGGGGGAGCCAAACCCAGGCGCGCACGCCGCTGATATCGCAGCGCGTTCGGCGGTTGGGGGACCCATTTGGGCCCGCACCAGAGGTCACTCCTGCGAAAGGGCACCCTTACAGTCGGGGCCCTGAAGAAGGAACCCTTTTCGTTGAGGAGGGGCTCCGCGTTCCTTAAGTGTTTCACAGCTTGCCTCAGGTTTTCCTTATGTTTCCCATGAGAAATCGAAGTAGAACTTATGGAAAAAAGGGGCCTCGTTCCTTATTGAGGGTTCCTTAGGTCAACGCCCCGACTGTACGTCCAGCCGGGAAGGGGAGG